GAGCTCTTAACCAACTGCCACTCGGCCGGCCCCTAGTACACACCACGTCTTATTGGTCTGACACCCTAGCATGTCTCTTACTGCCTGGAATGAAGCAAGGATCAGTGAACGATCAATGAATGAATAAACATTGGTTAACGCTTTGAATGATTCAGTAGACCATGTTTTTTTGTTGTTGTTTGTTGTTTTTTTCCTTTTCTTTTTTTCCTGAGGAGCTAAATTATCCAGAAAAACCCCAAAATATTCTTTAGACCATTAATGCATCCAAATAGTCTTAGAATCATAATTTTTCTTTAATTTTGAATTAGGTAAGACTCAAGTAACTGTTTGTTTCAGCATTATTATAAGATGTGCTGGAATGATTTCAAATTTAGAGCTAGTGAAGACAAGCACAAGGATGAAAGTTCCCTAAGATGCACAGAATATCTCTAAAAAGTATTTTTATGTATTCTACTATACAGAAGAAAGTATTGATACCTCCTGCTTCAGGCTTTGAAAGATTACTTGCAGTTTCTTTAAAAGTCATTTTCTTTCTTTTGACTATATTTTGAATATAGTTTAGGGAGGAAAACGCAAATTGTACAGCCACAATAAAGACGACATATCAAAATATTGGGCTGTTGGAAAAGTCATGATGTATTTTTTGCTTTTCGTTGCAAAAATGCGTCATGACTTTTCCGACAACCCAATATTATCTCATAGTTTTTTGGTTTCTCACAAAAGTCTTTATGCTATACGCTGCTCATAAAGATTTGTTTTGGAGCACTTCAAGTTAAAATTCACAAGGCCACTAGTATGACTGACTTTAATTTTTTTTTTTCAGGTACAATTTCTCTCCTCTAAAACAAACTGATGTAAGAGATAGTCCATTAAATATAAACTATTCACCAAAGTCATAAAAACAAAAAGTGTGCCTTAATTTTGAAAAAATTGTATGTGCTGTTGTTAACGAAGTAAAAAAGACATCATCCTGGAAGTCTAACACACAGCCCCTCCTCCAAACCACTTAGACTGGTTACTACCAAGAACAGCTTGAAGAGACGTCAGTCAGTATACACTAATGTTCAAGTACTAGAATCTAATAAGTAACTAATTATACCCTTTATACAGATTTATATAAAGTACAGATTTGACAAAGTAAAGAGTGGGTGTTTTGTTTAACTATGTATCTTGAGTTTAGGGATTTTTTAGATGGGAGAATATAAAATGGCAGCATCTGCTAGTGAAATTGCTGCCCAGTGGACATTTAAGTCAACAAGTAAACAGAAAATGATTATAAAGACAGTGAGGGTATGCATACATAGGAATTACACCTTCCCCACTACCCTGCTTCAAAACATGTTCAGAAGACACAATAGAGACGAGATGCCCAACTTAGGAAAATGTACCCAAAGATTCTTCAGAGACAGATCTACAGAGCGGCTAGTCTTACACTGCTTGGTGCGTGACAGGGTCAGCCATTACCTTCCTCTCTTCCTCACGCATATTGTCATGTCATTTACCTGACAAAGTCTTGGTTGAGAAGCTTTAGCGTTTATGTTGGTTATGGTTAAAATGAGGAAATTCTATTTTGCAAAATTTGTCCGTTTTAGTTTTGTGAAATGATATGTTCTAAAAGCCAGTGTTGAGCAAAGGTCAATAAACGTAAATGGCTCAGAAAAACGCTGAATTGCATTCATTAGAAAAGTGTAGTCATATTCTACTAAAAGGCCTTTCAAAGGCAAGGCCCTACTCACTTATGATCACCATAGGATTTCAGGGCCACTTGCCTGTTTTTGCCTCTAAGTTTCACACTATTTAGTTCCCCAGGAATGCTTTCCTCCTTCCTGTTTTTTTTTCTCCCCAAGTTTAAGTCCTTGGCTTTTGTAGGCTAGCCAGAGTCAACTGGGAAGAAAGTGTTATTTCAGTGACATGTTGACCATGAGTGTCAACAAAGGAGGAAGATAATTTCCAATTGTCTTGGGATTCTGAAAACAAATACATATGGATTAAGTTTAAATAGCAACAAGGAAGAGAGAATGGCTAAGACTTTTTTGGGTTCAAAGTTCTTTGCAGTTCAGGTTGTATCTGTAATTAAGCTGATGAGAATGTTTATCTAGTTTCCTTATTTTTTGGAATAATTCCAACGATTCTTTGAGTAGACATGCTATAGAAACTGAAGTCTGAGTAGATGAAGTAGTTAAGCAAATGTACAGGGTTTCACAGTAAACTTTAGTATCAAAGCAACAGCAAGCTGCAGAGAAATAAAATATGTGTGTATATAATTACATATAAATGTATGTGTGTATACATATACTTGATATGGAGAGCTATAATGGAAAACTAGTTGAGTACATAAAAATTATACTCAAAATTCTCACGTGACATTCTTTTTTTTTTTCTTTATTCCTAGACTTAAGCTATTATAACCCAGCAGGACAAGGAGCACTGGTTACATCAAAAGCTAGATGCATTCAGTATCACTCCCTTAGTAAAGCCAGATTCACAGACATCTGAGCAACTCCAGAATCAGAATGCCAGCCAATCACAAATTCCATAACGGTAATATAAACGCATCTATTCATTCCCTCTCGTTAGCTTAACAGTCAGGCTTTGAACAAAGCAACTGATTAACATATTCATTGTTCTCTTCCGCTTCTGCCTCACATTTTTTACTTCTTTATGGATCAGGGATGTCTGAATACATAGAAAAGAAATGCTCCTGCAAAACCATTTCTAAAAGTTGTGGCACCAAAAGTGCCAGAATGAAATTTTTACTATTTCAAGGGACCTACAAAAATGCTAAGGAAAACAAATCTATGAATCAATTTTATTTTTATTTGCATTTAACATGATTATACACATTCATGTGTCTAACAAGATCTGCACTGTTACATTAAAAATACAGTACAATAACATTCAACATGAGGTACTTCATATTTATATATTTTTCCTTCATAAATAATGCTGTAAGCTACTAAATTCAAGCACTTTGATGCTCAAGTGGCTAGTGTCTTGAATTAGCCGGGTTTATTTCAACACCTTAAAAAACAACAAAAAAAAGACAGTTCAGTGCAATAATTATGTAGAAATTAGACCATTTAAATACTATATTAAGATATGCTTAAAGAATGTTACATTAGAACTGCTAGCCTAGTTCCCCTTTATCCCCAGTATGAACAACGACAAAGACTGCCAGATACATTGGGAAAAGCATCTACAAGTATTCTGTTTAATAAAGTTGTGTTTATACACTAGAGTTGCCTGCCTTGTCAGAACAATAGTTTCTAGTTTTAAAAGCTACAAAATTCGAGATTACCATAGAAAACAAAGCAGCAAGCACATTAGCCTTCATTCCATGTTCTTGAAAATGCAGAAGGGAGAACAGGATTTAAAATGTAAAATTCCTTATTCTAAATTTGATTTTCAAATTTAGCACACAGCTCTTGGTANGTGATTTGTTAATAGATTAGTTATGGGAAATGATGGAAAATAAAATCCAGAATGACTCTGTCTTAAGCATTTACATTGGAATTTGTGACTTTTACTAAGATTGGGAAGATGAGCAAGTTTTTGTTTGTTTGTTTGTTTTGTTTTGTTCTTTGTTGGGAGTCAGTGGTGGTAATCAAAACTTGCATTTTGGAAGTGGACATTTTAGATGCCCACTAAGAGATCCAAATGGAGTTGTGAGATGACAGCTGAACATACAAACCCGGAACTCAGGTCTAGGCTGGAGACAAACATGTAGAAGTCATTATACATCTTGTCCCAAAACATAGTGGAATGAACAATAATCATTTTACTCTGTTCACACATTCTGTGGATGAGTATTAGAAAAGGCACAGTGGGGACAGACCCTCCTGTTCCCCAATGTCTAGAGGCCTTGGTTTGGAGTGATATAAACTGGGACTGGAATAGCTGGGCCTGGAGGAACCACTTCCAAGATGGCTTCTCACTCCCATGCCTCATGCCTGGGCTGAAGGACTGACTCAGCTGGGAATGTTGGCCAGAATGCCAACATGTGGCCTTTCCAGTATGGTGGTCTCAGGGTAGTCTGTTTCTCACCTGACCATGCTGGGCTCCAGGAGTAAGCATTTCAGTGACCAAGGTCATGGTCTTTGATGACCTACCTTTAAGAAGTCACACAGCATCACTTCCATGAACTCTGTGGACCACTGAAGTTCAAGGGAGTAGATATTGACCCTACCTTGTTTTCAATGGAGTACCAAAGAATTTAGGATCATGCTTAAAACTGACACATCTGACTCATCATCAGTTTCACCACTAGAAAGTATATTCTGTGACACAGGGATTTTTGTCTTCAGTTTTGTCCACTCCTCTATCTCTAGTACCAATGGCATCCCATAGGATGAGTGATCCAAAAGAGCANGGCAAACACACTAGCGTGCACATGGGTGCCCACGTACACACATCCACCCCAGGACTAACCCCTGGCTCCAGACAAGCCAGCTTCAGACTTGCAGAGCAGGAGAAGGAGGCGGCCAGGGACCACACTCTGGGTGGCTGGGGAAACCATCTCAGGATCACACTGAGCAGAAGAGCTGCCCAGAAACACATGGATACTTCAACTGGAAGTGAACACGCTGGACACTACCAGGGTCAAGGGCACTAAACCATCACAAGCCATCACTGAAGGAGAATTTTTTGATAATCTTTTCCCTCCTTGGTTTACATGATCTGTGGACAAATAAGAGAGCTGGATGTGATGCTGATGCAGTGAATGTTGGGTATAATCAGGTGCATCGCTCCAGGTCGTTTTTTAAAACCCTGCAGGCATATATATTGGCACTTTAAGATGGCCAGAGGCCAGATTCTAGCAGTCCACGAACAACACAAAATTACAATTAACTAAGAAGATAGTATGTGATCAAAATAGAGCAGGTAAAGTATATTTTACACTAAAAAAAAAAAATCAATAGATGAATGTATTTTATTACATTAACATGTAGTGCCACAAACTAATTGTTTTCCCATTCATCTAAAGAATTGTTTGGTCCTCTTTTCATAGGAAAAAGGGAATAGGAATTTTATACAGTACGACTTAGGAAAACAAGGAAATGGTGGGGATCACAAGCTAAGTGGTGAGAAAAAAGTTGACTTTTTTAAACTGTGCATTCTATTGTGCCATCAATTAACTCATTTGTAGTACGGGGCGTTTTTAGGTTTCTTTTTTAAACTGTTTTATAATAGTTTGAATTAATAGGCCTGTGACTTTTTTCTAATGGCAATAACATTTTATAATTTACTTAACTTCTAAAAGAAGTGTCTGTGCTGCAATATTTTGTCTTCTAAACAAAAGAATAAAATCTGGTATGGCAGAAGTCACAGCCTAAACAAACATCCAGTTTCTTATTTCTCCATTTTACATTGACATTTTGCAGTGTTTAATATTTAACAATCTTATGAATTAAGATTTAAGAAAAAGCAATGCCCAGAAATATAATATTTAAAGGAAATAAGAGCTAAACAGGACTATTGTCTACTTCCTAAATTATTACTTATAATGAAGCAAAACTTCTTTCATAATTGTACACTGAGGTTTATCTGTTATTTTTTTGGGGGGGAGGGGTTTCTGTTTGAAAATTACTCATTACTTTAAACTGTTTCTATTTGTTAAAATAAAGCCCTAAAGGAAATTTGAGGTGATTCAAAAATTTTCTTAAGAAGGACAAAACTGAGAAGTCAATGGGGCAGTTGGAAAAAAACACCAATTCTCCCCAGCTATGTAGACAGACGCAATTCTAAAAACCACAAAGCCCTAATAAGAACTTGGCTCTTTTAAGCATATAGTTAAAAGCTGAATGCTGCGTTTTTGCCTGTACATAATTAAAAGGTTGAAAGAAATTAGAAACTGCCTACAGCTTCATTCATTACAAATGACCTGCACTGATCACATATCTGCAGTGAGCTAAGCATCAAGCTGGTAGGACCCAGATGCACTCCTTAGAGTTCACACTGCTTCGGCAATTGTTTTCAAGCATAGAATATAAGTTCGGGGATCTGCCCTCCCTGTACTCCCGTGCCATTGGTGCTATCCGAGGAGCACTGAAACTGGACAGTAACTTTGCCACACTGAACCTCTGTCATGCCTTCCTGTCCGAAGTAGCTGAGTTCATTGCCATCCAGTATCACGCTGGCTGTGTAGAAGGTGTCTGGCTCGATCTGCACTGGGTACTCAAACCACACGGGGAAGGTATTGCTGGAGCCATCTGAAAAGTACTTGCTCAAGTTCTGCCCCAGGACAACGCCCTGCCGCTTGAGTTCAATCTTGGCGCTGTACTCCGCAGAGCCACAGCTGGAGCCATACAGCCCAAAGCCAGCGATGAACACTCTTTTATCCACTGCAAACTGGATGCTATCACAGCGGCCCCGATAGCGCCACTGGTTGCTCCGATAGGCACACGACTGGAAGCGGTGACAGCGCTGGGGGACAAGGCCCTTGCGGGCTTTACTCACAAACTGCAGCTCAGGTTTTTTGGCCGCAGTGTACCAGAGGAAGATGTCATTGGTCTCATTGAGAGTCAGGACTCCAGACTGCGCAGCACCATTGGCAAAATCGTCCAGGGCCATCGTAGGTATGCGGATTAAGTAAAGTGCCTTTCCCAGGACCTTGCGCTTGTTTTCAATGCTCAGAGCTAGATCTTGTCGCTGGCATTCTACTTCAGCCCAGTTGAGAGCTGCCTCAAAAACCACAATTTCTTTGGCATTCAAAGTTTCCCTCTGGAGGATACTCTCTAGTGTCTGGAAGTCGATATCACAGAATCCCTCAGACTTGAGAGCTAACTCAGCCTGGGCATCGATCACCTCCCAGCAGCGCTGGGTCAGGTCTGGCTCTTCGAACAGGCAGCTCTGAGAGAGGAGCACACAAGCGTTCTTGGCACTCAGGCTGGTCTCCAGGAAATTAACGCAGGCTCTGGCGAGGTGAGGGACAATGTACTTTTTGGCAGCATAAAGAGTAGCCAGCACTGTGTCAGCAGCCAAGTCAATTTCATCACAATAGATATATCTGGAAGAGTGCACAGCATGTAAATGGAATTTTCAAAATGACTGTGTCCAACAAGAAAAGATGCAACTACTTTCAAGTTAGTTCCAAGAAAATCATCTTTGGTGACAGTTATTACAAAAATGATTAGGGATTAAAGAAACATCTGAAATATGTTCATAAATTAATATTTCAACTCCTTAATATTTCAAGTAGTTTGTATAATTAATTTTCTGTTATTGTTCTAGCCTCTATTTTATAAGCTGCATTCAATGTCTTCAAAAAAAACAAAAAACAAAAATAAAGCCAGAAGAAGACACTGGAACTGTTTTGAGAAAGAATTGCATATCAGAGATAGTTGATATTAGAACAAAACAGCAAAAGTCTATTACATATGCTACTTTATATATTTAATGAAAAAATAATTCCCCTGTGTTTTAGAACTAAGATGTCTATAAGTTTTACTTTAAAAAATTTCTGTACATTCAGATAGAAATAAATGCCTTTAATACTATAATGTTAGCAACGACTGCATCTTGATACTTTTACCTAAGTATGACTTGGATTTCTCCAAAACACAAAATAAAACCTGAGGTGAAATAAGATACTTTTCAAGTAGTTCCAAGTTCAATAGGTTATCAAATATAGACTTCAATGCTGTCTCCCATGTACCTTTACACAGAATCCAATACAGGCTTTGCATCTTTTTTATTTTATTTTTTTTAACTCTAAACTCTTTCGTCTCACACATTCCTTTCCACCTTTAAAATTAAAGAATACACTGTTTCCAGGTATATTTAATTAAAAGACAGTAAAAAAAACCTAAATATGCACTATTTCTGTGACTCTGTAAAGCATCCCTTTATCAGGAGATAAAACACTTCTAGGTGTTCTGGGGACAGTGGCAGGCTCTCAGAATGGTAAATAAGGGTGGCAGTCATATACTTCTTTTAGATTGCTGTGGTTCACCAAGAGTCAGTGAGAACTATATATGGGTGAAAAATACATGCTGATAACACTTCATTTTTAAATTTTCTGTTTAACTACTTGCTGTGCAGTTTTCCTTTAGTTATTACATTTCAACTTAGTGAAATGCACATAACAAGAAATTAGTAATGTCTCCTATAAGAAAGTAAAAACAAACAACAACAACAACAACACAATGATGGCAAGATGGCAATATGAAAAATGTCCACAAACACAAATGGAATATGTCCTTTTGCTCCCAGGAAGCCCTTTCTCTTCTCTGATAGGCTAAGCCATCTACTAGTGGCAAGCCTGCCTGACAAAACACCTGCAGCTTGGGGACACTCTAACCAGAGAAGAGGGATCGTGGGGAGGATTCTGACACATAGGCCCCTAGAACTGTCAAGTGAGCAGTCTTCCCTTTTTCTTGACAACCCCCTTTCCAGGAATACTGGCTACTCACCCACAATGCAGGCAAGAGGAAAACCTGGCCTCCACGATCCCTGGTGACAATGTGGTACTGATCCACTATGGCATGATAACAAATGGCACCTTACTACTATATTTCTGATTCTTACCACTTTACGTGGATGGCATGTCTAATTTTAAAAGATGTATTGATATATATTCTAGGCAATACATTTGTGAGAAAAGATGCTTGTCAAATGACCAAATGACTTAGGTGAAATGTAACTGATTTTTTTTTAAAGATTTTATTGGGGAATTGGGGGAGGGGAACAGCATTGGTGAAGGGGAACAGACAAGTTGCTGTTCTTTTGTTCTTCAGTCTAGTTGTGGAGGATGCTGCTTCACTGGCCCATGTTGGCAATGTGATCATTGTGCTTGTCCTGGCTGAGGCAGTCGCTTGCCAGCCATTGGACGGCCACTCACGGCGGCTCACAGCGGCTCATGGCAACTCATGGCAGCTCACAAAAGCGCACACCAGCTGCCGGCCAGCCCCACTGCAGCCTACACCGTTGCCGGCGATTCACGGCAGCCCAGCTCCAGGTCGAGCTGTTGTTCACCATCTTAGCTGTAGAGGGCGCAGTGTCACTGGCCCTCATGTGGGACCTGAACCGAGGCCCTGCTGCTCAGAGCTGGTGTCCCAAGCCAACTCTTAACCAATGCGCCACTCAGCCAGCCCAAAATGTAACTGAATTTTATACGTTTCCTAGTTATATATATACCTGGAATGACACAACACTACTCGACTGCAATGAAGTCAAAATGCTGAACTAGTGTTAGCATTCTCTGCAAAAGATAATGTCAAATATACAAAACTGGCTTGATGGGGGTATGGGGAAGCCTTGCAGGTAAAATTGGTTTCTGTTCTTTTATCTCTAAAAGATTACAAAGGTCACAAAGTACTGGTTGGTTATAAAGTGGTGGATTAGCCTGACATTTTGATACTTCATACTTTCACTTGCCTTTAATTTCCCTATCTTCCATTGTGAAAGTTTAAGTCAGCGGCAATTCGATTTCAAAACTCTAATGCAAATAAAGAATTAAATGCTTTTAAGTTCTACAACTGTAACAGTGAAAATGCTCAGCCTCTCGGACTCCATCTTGTTCAAGCCAGCTTCGTTCCCATTGTCTTCAGGTTAATAGCTTCTGCTTAGTCTTACATATAGACATGCTAATCGATACAGGAATTTTGCTTGTGGCTTGAGTTTTACAAAAACAGCCCCCTACCAGAAACTGCCTGTCCCGAAGAAATAAGGGAAGTATATACAAAATAATGATTGTTTATCAAAGATTTTCAGGAACCTGTGACTGGACTCACATTAACTAGAGCCAATAGTCTAAGAACAAAGGAGTTTCCCAATCTTCCTCCAACCCCTGCTGGCACCCAGATGTCTAGTCTTCAATTACCTCTTGTCCCTCCTGTCTCCCCTCTTTTCCTGACAAAAAAGAAAGCTGAATTCTGTACTTTAACATGGTTCTTTAGGACGCTAGTCTGCCATCTTCTCAGCCTGCTGGTTTTCCGAATAAAGTTGCTTTCCTTGCCCTAGAACCTTGTCACTCAACTCATTGGCCTTCATGCTGCTATCAGACAACAGATAGCAACATTTTAACCATGGGTGGAATTACTGTCCAACTTGTTGATACATTGAATGATTTTTTTCAACAAACATTATACTTATTCTAGTGAACCAAAATTCCTATAGTAACAGATAATCTTGAACTCTGATATACTTGGTGTGCTAGAGTAAGGATTTAAAAAAAAATTATATAAATATGATTTAGAATAATGACTGGATTTAATCACATAGTAGACGATCACTAACATCAGTACATGCAAAGAAGTGGATTTTATTTACCTTCTTAACATGTACTGGATTCTGAAAGATCCGTGAGATACACAACTACTTTTTAAGAAATATATATACCTTATAGTTTTACATTTCTATATTACCAATTAAAGTTTTTCTGTATAAATCCATATAAAGCTACAGGAAACTATTTATAGCTCTCAAAAATTTCTCCTGGACTATCAAATGCAAATGCTTCTCATCTTTGAGAAACTGTATCTGATTTTGCATAAGAGTATGTGTATGTGTGTGTGCGCGTAAAGATCAGATTAGTTCTCGGATAAGTTTTACATTTGCTGACAAGAAATAATAATTCCTAAAAAATTAGAAATCTCTTAACTGGTGGCATTTAAGCAAGGCATATAATTTCCAGAATTGTGAAACAAATATATATGTCTTTAAAGACTTCTCACACACAATGTTTTCAAAGAGAACATCCTCTATTAGATAATGCCTACACCAGAAACTCATTTTTCTTTAATTCTAAGTCATTAAAAATCAAATCACTACACATGCCACTTGCCCCCCTAAATCCTATGCCAAAGGTGTGATTATAAATGCCTACATCGTTCCACTGAAAGATGCAATTTACAAGGTAAGCAGCACCCTCTGTCTCCATCAGTCTCCCTTTTCTGTTACACAGAACTTATATTTAACTGTGAAACCAGCAGAGTACAAGTACAGCATAAACAAACTCTTTCCAAACATATGAATGATGCTTACTTCAGCATAGCGAGAAAAGCAGCAGGTTCGACATCTGGTATACGGATTTCATCTTTGTCCTCAGCAAGTTCTCCGTAAAACATTGCATGGAACACAGAGCTCCCAACAGCTAAAACATACTGTGGAGAAAGGGAAATCTTATTTCATGCTCTAAATTGAAGCGTTTTCAGCAAATCAATCCAGAAAAACAACTTTAGGCAATCAGGTTCAGTGGACACAGAGCACCTAAACAGGCTCTCTTGTCAAAGCCAAGGTACAATATATCTCGCTGTGGAAGAACACGATAGATGTTCATGCAAACCGGTCTCTATGCTGCTAATTATCTCAAGGATTTAACAGATTAATGTACAAGTTCCCTCATAACAAAATAAACAAACACAAGAAAAGCTTACCTAACTGACTTCTCGGGGAAGAGCAAACACAGGACTTTCTTAACCTGTCACAACAACTTCCCATGACTGGAGAGTTAAGAGGGCATGTTTTTGTGTGGGATATAAAGCAGGGTAGAAGGAACAAAGAAAAAAATTAAGCATGGCCAAGGCCCTTTGAGAGGCTGCGCTTTCTTCGTGATCGGGTGAAACATGCACTGCCTGCCATCGGCAAGCTGCCCACCCCAACTTCCAGGCTTATGGAGAGGGTCCCTCTTTGTAAATCTGAGGACTAAACCGGTAATGCAGCTGTTGCTTACTTTGTGTCCTGGCAACCGCTGAGTCCCACCTGGTGGCCCAACCACAAAATGTACATCTGCCATCAAATCATTATTGAACATCACCGCATTTCTATAAACAGAGGCAATTCATTAATTCACAGCAGCCTAGCATTTTTAACACTCCCATCCCCAACATACAAAGCCCGGAAAATATTCTCAAGCTAAGCAACAGTTTAATAACTTCAGGGCAAAACTACAAATAAAGGTTCCAACTGAACAACTGTGTTTGTAATCACTGCAAACATGGGAAGTAACTAAAGTAAAAAAAAAAAAAAGTTATCCAAACTTTTCATCCGACTACAGGCAAATAAAAGGTTTTTATCTTCTATGGCCCCTAGACACACCCTTGTCACTTAAATGTTACAGCTTGCAAAAACATTTTTATCTAAGAGGAAAACAGCTGCACTGTTTTGGAAAAGGTACAAGGCAGCTTTCCATTACCAATAAAGCTGCTGGGAAAAGAGGAAACACAGATTTATGTTAAAATACAGTACGGGTTGTGCAAAAGCAGAAACTTCAACACAGGAAAACTTTTCAAGTAAACACGCCGGCCCGGCATTGAACTTACCTTTCTCTGATGGTGGGATAAAGACCCTGCCAATTCGGGGCCGGGATCAAGTTGTTGTTACTGAGGTTCTGCTGGTGGTACTGCTGAACGGTGCTGCTGCTGGAGGGGGCGGGTTTTTTGCGGGGGAATATATCAGCAGCCATCTTCTTCTTCTTTTTAGTCTTCAAGGTAATTATTTCATAACAAACTGGGGGCAACTTGCTGCTGCCGCCGCTGCTGCCGCTGCTGCTGCCACTGCTGGTATTTGTTTTCTTCGAGCTTTTTTTGGACCTGTTCTTTACCGTCTCTGGAAGCATCAAGAAGAAGGTGAGACATTTCATGTTCTTTTCCTTGTCATCTACCATGAGTACAGTTTGTCTCTCTTTAGAGCTAGATATCCCAAATTGGTGCAAACATCAAGGAAAAGAGGCTAGCACGAGCTAAGATGTTAACAGAAACCAACCAGCTGATATTTTGCTTCTTTTCTCAGCCAGGCAAGGTGACCTTTTCACTATGTTGAATACAAACTGGCTTTAAGTTTTATCCAGTACTGGGTCTGTTAAATATATCTCCATCATGATTCCTGTTTCTCTTATTTGCTCATAAAAATAACCCAGTTTCCTAGATAACCTGAAAATGCTACAGTGAGCAGAGATGACAGGCAGAGAGCCGTAGCACTTGTTTTCTGAATTAGGTTAGCAAGATGTGCTGGAGCCGCGCGAGTCTGTTCAGCCGGCTGAAGTTGTGTGGTGAATGGATCGGAGGAGTAGGTATTACAGCCCTGCAGATGGAGTCAGACAGCCAGTGCTCAGAGCCAATAGCTGAAGTCACCAATCATGATTGGACCAAGCAAAACAGTGACACCTATTGTAACGTGCACAGTTCTGATATTAAAGGAACAGCAGTTGCATTCTGTCTACTGTATTACTGTATATTTAAATAACATAAACAACTTATGAAATACATCTGAAAACAGGAAGAGGTTATGCTCACAGGTTTCTTTCTCTTCAGACGTACATTTTTTTTATTTCCCCAGTTAAACAAGCAGGATCAATTAACAAAGGGTAGGGACTGTTGTCTACTCTATATCTCTAGTAAAATCTTTATCCCATCAGCATTTAGTTTCAAATACTTCAAACAAAATCCTCCATTTTACCAGCTAAGAGGAATTATTAATAGCAAAAGCATACTAAACACATTTATCACAGCTTAATGGGGAAAATGTTATTTTTCTTTTTCTTTTTTCAGTCTCTGAATGGAAGTTACAGTCTAGTATAAAATAAGAGATGAGGTCATGTATTCATTTTACCTCCCAGTGTTTTCTAGCTCCTATAATGATTTTGACAGGAGTCCCAGATCACAAAATGCTGTTAAATTAGACTAAGATTATACCAGTAGGCTTAGTGGCACTGAAACATAAGGTAAATTTTAGGTGTAAAAATAAGATTCAAAGAGACAAATCTAAATCTGGTAATCAGTGTTTAAAGGTTGTAATTCCCTAAAAATATGTCAGGTGGGGCCCTGTTCAGGATTTCAAAATCCAAACTAAATATTATGGCTACATTTAGACTTGTCATAATTTTTAATCCACAATTTGTAACACAAAATCAATCATAAGGCTATTCAAAATAATAAATGTTCTGATGCTGCCTAGTTAAAATGCAAATGGGTTCTCTCTGCTTTGAATCAGAAGAACATATACTATGTGGTTTTTATAGATGTGTTTCCTCCAGTAATTTCTAGCTTTAGTAAGAAAAAACAAAACCACCTGCTGTAGGTTCCACACTTAGTTATTTTTTTCTAAAGAGAGACTAATGAGGAGATTTAATCTCACCCATTTATTTGGATGACTCTCATTTGCTCCCAGTGCAGCAGCCATTTGCTACCCTCTATCTAATGCGTCCTTCCTGACCACAGCCCTGCCAGCTGCACAACACTCATCTGAGTAACCAGTGCAGGACAGTGAAGGCTCAACACGTGGGAGCTTCCACTGTTATTACAACTAGTCATCTACTAAAGATAACATGCCAGAAACCAGACTTTAGATCCCTGGGACTCTAAATCACTAATCTTATTCAAGGAATATCCTCTTTATCATCATTGTTTTTCTTAAAACTGTTTGCAAAGCCACTGCAAGACAGACTAGACTGTGTGTGTAGGAGAACCATGGTCTTTGGCAGGTTACTCATCCCAATTTTACATGGACCCTAAAATGCTGTTTACTTACAATTATCATGCTTCCATTCACAGGGCTATTACTACACACATACATATTCACACACTTCCAAATTAC